GGATCCATAAAGATCAAAATATCCTTCAAATATCCCGTCTTTGAATCGAACAAATTCTCCAAAGACAACAAATCAATCAACAAGCAGAAGGGAAAAAGCGAGAGAAGAACATGTGATGCTCGTTCTCGGGTCTGACGCTCTCTACAATGTCGTCAATGGCGTCAGTGATGTTTGGATCAATGAGAACAGGTTCAAGATCTCGAGGTAACTCAGCGAAGGAGGATTCATTTATGTCTACCTAGTGAAGGAGGTGCTAACGGCGGTGGGTCCCAGGGCGGCGGACTCGCTGGAAAGAAGATTAAGAACCCTTCTCACATTTCAGGTCAATTTCCTATTTTCTCCATGTGGGTTGAATTATTTGGTCGTGATTTCTGATGAGTATTTTGTAAAGTTGAATCTTTCGTTGTTGTTGTTCTTGTTTGCGGATGATTTGAGCTTAATATGGATGCAGTTCAGCTAAGTTTTTGTTGGAATTGGTTTTGGGGTTTAGTGATCTGAGTATTTCTTAATTTTGGTTGGATTTTTTGTTACTAGATTTTATTGGCTGAGATTTCTTCGTGTGCTGAATGTTCACAAAATCCACGAGACTACTAGTCCCGTAGATTTTGAGCTTCTTGTTTAGTGACCGATTAGTGACCACAAAACACATGGGACTACTAGTCCTGTGTGTTTTGAAAACTGAATTTAGCAAAACCGAATTTTTTTTAGTCAGCTTTGGTTAGCTAGGAAAAAAGAGGCCGGTTTTGCTAAATATTTAACCAAACTGGCCTATTTTAAAAAATTCTCCTAATTCTCGGCATCACAACATGCATTAACAGAATGTCAGGGTCTTATTCGAAAATTCTCCACATTCTCAGTATTTTTTTTCACATGGACAGCATATATTTTCGAAAATAAACTTCAATTAACGCGTATATTTCTCCCTCCCTTCCTTCCTCCTCCTCCTCCTCCTCTTTCCCCTCTCCTCCCCAGTCATCTCCCCTTCTCCCAAAAACCCCCCCGAAGCCCTAAACCCTAAACCCTAACCCTAATCCACATGCCGATCCTCTCATCAAACCAATAACAAAAACATCCAGCGATCCGAAATCTCTCCACCATGGGGGGAGTCACGTCATCAATGGCCGCCAAGTTCGCCTTCTTCCCGCCAAATCCACCGTCGTATACCCTGGAAGAGTCCGAATCGGAGGAGGGGAAGCTGAGGATGAGTGGAGTGCCGAGGAGAGAGGGAGTGGAGGTGACGAGGGTGAAGACGAGAAGAGGGAACGAGATCGTGGCGATGTTCATCAAAAACCTTAATTTGGCGACCAAAGAGGTGGAAGGAGCTGGCTTGACTGTTCTTTACTCTCATGGGAACGCCGCGGACCTTGGCCAGATGTATGAGCTATTTGTCGAGCTTAGCGTTCATCTCCGAGTTAATCTCATGGCGTAAGAACTCTAATTCTCTAGTTTGTTCGCTATTTTTTCTGTGTTTTATCTGAAAAAGATTGATTCCTTTTTTCTTTTGTTTGGATGCGTGCGGATTGATTGGGAGAGACTCGGTGGTGTAAAATGAAACAGGAATTTGAATTTGTTAGAAAAGAGAAGATGTCTCTTTGTTATTTGGATTATTTGTTTTTCAACGGTTTCCTTTTGTTGGATTGATGGAGATTGAGATTCTTTTTTTTTTCTTTTACGAAAGAAGGAATATTGATTTTTTATGTGATTGACTTTCGTTTGGAGCTTAGTGTTTTATCAAAAAATACTATAAACAAAGAGCTTGGTCTTTGAATATACTTAATTTAGGGGTTTTGATAAGCCTTCCCTGCAAGATTATTGTACCCCGCATCTTGATTTTACGGGTTGGTAGTGGTAGGTATACAGTGATAATATTTTGTTTCTTTTTCTTAAGAGAGAGAATATTTTGCTTGATTGAATCTAGACATGCTCTGAGGTTAATTTAGACTCTCCAATTTTTTCTCTTTATAGACTGTGTTTTCTTCTTTGATTTTACTTGTCCTCTATATTATGTAAGTGCTTCATTTTCTTAAGAGAGAGAACATTCCATTTCCTTTTTTTTTTTTTTGAAGATACGAAGACAATAATTTTGTGTTATAGAGTGACTGCAACGGCTGGAACTTCATGCATAGTTTTGACAAAATCACAAATTCTGTCCTTCCGACTGGTTACTGACGGAGAGTTGGGAGGACTGTTCCCATGGTTGCATGACCTGAAGCTACATGATCCATAATATGGGTTTTCTTGTCTTCCTAGTGGCCTTACATGATTTTCCACAAGCCTTTCTGTTGCAAGCATTTTCCTTGTCTAAGGAGTTTGATTCCAACTTTGAGGCTTGATTGATGCCCGGTTGAAAACGAGCCTGGCATTTTGCTAATTCTTGGATTCTTCTGCGTATAGTCGACACAATTGATTGGAAAGACACAATTGATTGGAAAAGCTTGGAGCCTTAGACGATGGGGGTTAATCATATGGTGAAGGAGGGATTTTGAGATTACTTTTAGGTTGTTCTTGAAAGAAAGTTCCTTTTCCAATTCTATTCTTTTCTTCCTTTCTTTTTCTCATTGGCATTATGTATTACTAAAAAAAGCAGTACGCCCTATACAAATAATATAGAGTAATACAAATGCAATAGATCAGTGTGCAAAAGAAAACATATGCGTTTAATTAGAGTACTTCGCTGTCTCATAGCTTGGCATTCACTCTATATAGCATGTCATTAACTTAATATAGCTTGCCATGCGAGAATATCTAAAAAAAAAATTTGAAAATTTTTGGATTATAGCTGGTTTCTGAGAGAGCAATATCGGATAAGATATGTGTTTGTCGGAAAAGTAGAAAGGAGAAATTACCACTCAGTTTGACATAAGTTACATGGAAAGGTCATGCATTAGGAAAACAAAAGAGAGACCACATGAGTGAGATTTTAGTTTCTGCGATTGAGAGAAGCTAGAAAACATGGCTTCTAAAAAACAAAGGCTTTTTGGTGCCTGCTTTCTTAGGGTGAGATATTAGTTTTGCCATAGAAGCACTTTCCATAAGCAATGAAACTAAACATCTTCAATTCAGGAGGCTTTTCTGAGGTTTGCTTCTTGGTTGAAGAGTGACTCAACTTATATGGTAGTTTCCTATCTGCCAACGAGCATAATTCATGTCACCTTACACATTTAGTTTCCTCATTTAGCACTTTGAAATCAGCTTAGAGATTTGACTTTTGGTGCACAACCAAGCATAAAACCTCATTATGTTTCTACAATACTTATTATATAGTCAAGGTCTGTAGATGAGCCTATTTGGATGGGGAAAGTACTGGGTCATTCTCTCACCTTATCTTTTCCCAACAATGTAGATTGGGTATACCATTTGAGGAATATTCTATATTATGTTTCTGGAGCTTTTGGATTTTCATTTTGCTCTCTCTACTGTTGGTTTCAATTGCACAAAAGTCTAAAAATCGTGGCTCCTGAGCATCCTAATTCTGCTTCTTAGAACTTGCTGTTGTAAATGCGACATTGGATCCATCCGGGGTCTGTGATGCATCACAATTATTCAAAATTTCTCTTTCCAATGTTTTGGTTGTAGCATTTACATAGTCTCCACGTCCATAGTCTGCTATTGCTGTCGGAAGAAACTCATGCAGAGACAATAAATGACTTGTTTACTTGTTGTTTTTTATTATTGCTGAAAGTAAAAGTTGAAGCTCTTTATTCATTTATCATTTAGTTAAGATAAATATGAGACATAAGGGTAAGTTGACCAGAAACGTAGCTTCTTCTATGAATAATGGCTTGCTTTTTAGAGTCCATCTATAAAATTAGCATGTTACGTAAAGAATTAGGAAACTGATCATAAGAAGGAAATGGATCATACTTGAAAAAACGACCATGAAATACAAAAGAAAAAAGTTTATTCTTTTTGGGGAACAAATTAGGAAACTGGATCATAATTGCAAAAGCAGGAAAATAAACATGAGATTTGTATCTATATATAAGTAGCATTGATTAATGTTTCCACAAGAGTGTTGGGCTCATCAGAGAACATTCCTTCATATCTACTACTATGATAGAGCTTAAATTGAAACCATCAAAACCATTTTTTAATTTGTTTTTCATGCTATATTTGCTTTGGTATCCTTGGGCATTTTTTCTCCTTCAATCCTCGTTTCATCTGGAGCTTGAAACTGAAGCAAACATTTTAAGTTCATCGCATAGCTGCCTGAACTTTTGGTTAGTCATCATGACTTAGGGTCCGGATTTTATAAATTCTTCAAGAAGCCTTTTACCAAAAAGTTTCTTGGACTACGTATTTCAGCTCACGTTCTCTATCCTTCTGATCATACAAGTCCATGTTGTCACCAGTAGAGAATTTAGTGATGCAAGCTAGCATTAGAAAGGTCAGCGGTGACTGCATAGGTCAAGCAGTGGTGTATAAGCACAATGTTATCCAGTAGAAACCTATACGAGTAGCTTTTGAGTATATAAAATTGTGGCATCTTATACTTCGTATGCCCATCAGAGGTATAAATTCACTCTTCTGATAGCGTCCAAATCATTATCACCCTTTAATAAACCATTATGCTCATGTTGATATTCTTGCGTTTGGAAAAAAAAAAACTCAAAAGTATGGTTAATAGCTTAATAGTCCAAATGTGGCATGTAATAATTCGGATCTGAAATGCTTCTCACTCTGAATAGGTTCTTGTAATGGGGAACATCATATTACCTTAAAAATCTGACTTTTTCTTGGAGAAGAGTGACATTCTTTGATTCTTTACAGGAGTGATTGCAGGATTATACGCGAGATAGACCGCTATTTATATGTTGTCCACTGTTTACATCTATATTTCCTTATGTAATGCAATATTTAATTGGTTCACATTATTGTAATTTTTTATTTATAAAGGTTTCAACCGGTTATCTGAATTGACGCCCTAACACTTGGTTTAGAGTGATCCTTGGGCCAAACCGTGTAGTTGACAGTTTAAAAATATGCATTGACCATGTTTGAAATCCTGGTATCAATTTTACGGTCATTACTATCAGTAGGGTTTTCTTGAGTTTTGAATCGGAAGTATCGGTACGTAGAATAAGTCTATTTATCCATAATATTTCTATTCCTTAATCTTATTTTTCTTCTTCTTCTCTCATGTAAAAATTTTTAGTATTTGAAACTCTCATATATTGTCATGTATTAGTGATCATTACCCAGTTCCAGCATATTTTAAACATTGGTATGTAACCTATACTTGTCCTGCCTTGCCTAGCAAGTCATTTTTGCTCTGAAGTTCTTTTCCAACACAGACAGTCGAGGAGTGTTTGTAGCAAATCATTTAATGTTATTTTATAACGGTTTGTGATGTAAAATGTTACTGCCAAGCTTTGGAAGGAATGAAATGATACAGAAATCATACGCGATGATTCTCCTTGAAGGTTTTGTTACTAAAAGTACACTACTTAAATTGAAGCACATGCATTATTTTTTGTGCTCATTTTGCCTATGATTTCTAGTTTTATGCATCAGGTGCCATCCATTTGGAAAGTAGGTTACTAGTGGATTATGTTTTGACTGTCCTGGATTATATATTTATTCAGAGATGGAACAAGCTCCTAATCCATAGCGCACAAGTTCTCCGGTAAAGGAGTACCTATCGTATAGCATATCCATACATGGATAATCAGATGTTTACTGAATTGGTATTGGATACTCTGGTTGTATTTTAAAATTAGCGAGCTCTAGATGCATTAAAGTCTGAGATTAAGAAGTTGCAATTCAATATTTTGAATGACAAATTCACAAATCTAATTAATGTACGGAAGTGCTGCGTTTACTTGATCTGCCTAGTTCGTAGTAAGGAATTCTTAATATGGAATATGGTTGGAAAGGGTTCTCTTTGTCGTTTTAGCCTTGCAAAACTTATACCATGTCATTCCTAACTCCCCAACCCCCTGAAAACAAAAACAAGCATCACCATCTATGTTACCCGGGTACTTCTATAATGAAGCCGTACCCGTACCGGACACGTACCCGACACTTTTCCGTACCCAAACTTCATGGACACTTCTTGAATATATGCATGCATTTATTACAATATGTACTCAATTATATGATATATGTGTTAATTTAAAACACTTTTCAAAGATTTCCTGGACGTAGAGCTTACACTTCACATCCGTCATTTGAAACTAATGAGATACCGGTCGGATTCGTTTCAGTCCATACCCAAGCTTAAAACTATATAGTTAATGGGTCGTTTAGATGTCTAGTAAAAAAAATAAGTAGTTTACAATTCACGATAATCAATATGATAAAAGAAACTCAAAAATGTGATCGGAATTTTAATTCTAATGACACATGGAGGGAGGGGAAATTTTTTATCTTATGTACCGTATTAATTCAATATATATATGTAGTCGTGTCCCCATACCCTACATTTTACAGTTTTGCACCCGTACCAGTACCCGTACCCGTTTCCATGCAACTTAGATCACCATTTATCCACCACTCATAATCTATTAATGAAATGGGGGGGGGAGGTAGATGAAAAGAGTATTACTGTCACATGCACATCCAGAAGTGGGAGCTTCGGCACATTTAGGAGAAGTGTTACTGCACTTTCCTGAGGCAGCCCCAACCCATGGACATATGCATGCAGAGGAAAAAGGAAACCCTGCCCCAAATGAGGGAAGCCTTCTTCGTTCAAGAGCTCTTTGGTAGCTGTCATAAGAAAATAAAATTTTCTATATTTTTTACCTTCTAAGTAGAAAACAATAGTTCAAAAAATCAAATGAGATGTAAATTTGCAAAAACGAGTTGCGATGTAAAGATTATTGTGTCTATATCTTCCAATTTTGTATAATATGGTTCTATGACTTACCTCTATATTAGTGCCTTTCTTTACACCATATTTCACAGAACATACAAACAATCAATGTTGATCTGTAAATCCCACCGACCTACACCCCCTTCCCCCAATGAATAAGAACTCTCAGACTTTTTTGCTTGTTAGTCAAAAGGGAAAAACTAGCTGCACCTTAACCTTTCATACTGTATTTATCCGTTATTGATATTGTTTACATGGAGATTCTTTCCGATTTAAATCTTCAGGAATCTGAGATGTAACCTGGCTTGTTCTCTCGCCTTGCCCTGAATTATTCCTTCATGATCTCTCTCTCTCTCTCTCTCTCTCTCTCTCTCTCTGTGTGTGTGTGTGTGTGTGGAGGCTATATAGTAAAAATACATTAATTAATATTGTCTTTCTTTCTATTCTAGGTATGATTACTCTGGCTATGGACAGTCATCTGGAAAGGTTTGTGAGAAGTTATTTCTATAGATGTTGAGGTTTATCTTTTTCCTAAAGTAATATATATGATTATAGTTATGTCATCCTCTACTGGCAGCCAAGCGAGCAAAATACTTATGCTGATATAGAAGCAGCATACAGATGCCTGGTAGACACTTATGGAATCTGCCCTGAGGATATTATTCTGTATGGTCAGTCCGTTGGAAGTGGACCCACATTGGACTTAGCTGTTCGTTTATCTCATTTAAGAGCTGTTGTTCTACATAGTCCTATTCTATCTGGCCTGCGTGTTATGTATCCTGTAAAGAATACATATTGGTTTGACATATACAAGGTTCAACTTTCTTAATCCTATTGATTTTATTACGACTCTTAAATATTTCTCTATTATTAAACACGACTTTTTGTTGTATTTGCAGAACATTGATAAAATACCACTTGTCAACTGTCCTGTTCTAGTAATTCATGTAAGTTACTTCAGTCTGATGCTTTTGGTTATTATTATTTTTTTCCATAGCAAAACTGGGTGATTTTTCAAGTTGTGATTCTTTAGTCCTATATGGGAATGTAAGTTTTGAATGCTATATTAATTCTACTCGTGCTTTTCCCCTTGTATACTTGAGTAGGTATGTACAAATCTTATTGTGACATTTCATAGTCATGGTTATTTCATCTGTCCAGAGTTTTTCAGTATGCAGACATTCATAACTCACATTCTTTTTGTAGAAAGTATTTGATGGCAATATTTCTTTGATAATTAAAACTTTTCTAAGAACTTCATAGGCAGACAAAATGCTTGTTCCAACTCTGTTCAAATAGACCAACAAACTACAAAGCACCAAATTGAGAAAACTTTACAGGAGTCTACACTCTGATGTTTAATAATCGTTGTTTAATCTTCACATGTGAAATATCTGATATATTCTTTATCACTTATAGTAGTGAGCCCTGATTCATGCACATGAATAATTCAAGTAATGCAAAAAACAATTCAAATCTAGCTAATAAATGAGTTACACATAAAATTGACCGCGATTGCTGATTTATTAGCCTCAAGATTTGCAGTTATCATCTTCCCCACAAAATTGGTATCGTTGGATGTATTTTTCAAGATTTGTAATCATCATCTTTATGACTCATAGTAGTGGACCATGATTCATATGCACGAATAATTCAAGTAATGCAAAAAATAGTTCATATCTAGGTAATAAATGAGTCACACATAAAATTGACCGTGATTACTGATTTATTAGCCTCAAGATTTGTAATCATCATATTCCCCAGAAAACTGGAGTCATTAGATGTATTATTCATATTTCTTTGGTGGATCCTTGTATGAACATAGTCATATGAATGTCGAATAATGTGTCCTACTGTTTGACTACCCTATTAAGGCTGTCTTGTTATGATTGTTGCAGGGAACTGCAGATGATGTTGTGGATTGCTCCCACGGGAAGCAGCTTTGGGAGCTCTGTAAAGAAAAATATGAGCCTCTATGGATTAATGGAGGGAACCATTGTAACTTGGAACTCTTTCCAGACTACATAAGACACTTAAAAAAATTTGTCTCTACCGTTGAAAAGTCACAAACCACTAAAGCTGAATCAAGCGAGAGCTTGAAACTCTCTGATGCTCCTAGAACAAGTTCTTCTGACATTTTAGTGTTCCCCAGGAAAAGTACTGACCAGAAGCAGAAATCTAGGTCAAGCACTGATCGCAAAGAGAAGCCAAGGAAAAGCTCTGATAGAAAAGAGAAACCAAGAAACAGCATCGAGAAGAAAGAGAAATCAAGGACAAGTGTTGATAGTTCCGATAAGGGAAATGATGGCGAGGATCAACGACTACCAGACAAACCAAGAAAAAGTATTGACCGGTAAGATAAAACTTAAAAATATCCTGGCTACGGTTTTATATACGACTAATTTTGTTTGCATATAGAGAAAATGTTTACTACTCAGGTGACGAACACCAGAGGATCCTCAAGTGAGGAATATTAAATGGTTCATATGCACATGTCCATATCATTTTTATGATTAGGTGTTTAATATTTTCTTTTCTGCTATAGTTTGCACGCCCAAATACACATCCAGATATTCTTGTTTGTTTGTTTATTGATTGTTTGTAATCTAATGGTGGCAGCTTGATTAGGTCAGTTGGACTATGCAACATCGACTGTCTCAAGGACCCCTCTTCATCTGGTGCATGAGGTTGTATCTATTTTATCCTCCCTCCTTCTTTCCTTCCCCCTCTTTTTCTCTAATTGATTTGATCTGATGAGTTATTGATGGTGATAATGAGCACATCTTCTCGTGCTCTATTTATAGAAAAGGTTTGGTGATGTTAATTTTATCATCAAATTGTGAAATATATACTTCTTTGCAAATTGACAATTTTTTTGGTCTTTGGTCATTTGTAGTTATTGCGAACGTTTGGTGTTATATTTGGATGAGTGTGACAATCAGCAATACATTCTTCTAATGATTCTTGAAACACTTTGTTATATACTAAGATTCTGCTTGTCTTATAGATTTTTTTTTAAGTTCTATTGTCAAACTGCATCACATGCTTTGTACTAATTTGTTGAAGTTGCCTACTACATTTGTGACCTGCTCATGTCTTATATTTCGGGCATTATGTGATCTTTCAGAATGAGGGAAGTTGCTTGGCGAAATTTATTATCATTATTTAGTTTCTATCTGAAAAGGTTTTGGTTTTGATGGTACCAGATAGAATGTAATTACCACCATATCGGTAAACTTATTATGGTTTTTGATAGAATTATGGTTTTCTTTTCCTTTAATTTAGTTTTATTATCTCTCGTTAATAAAGCAGTTGAGAGAAGGGCTAAAAATCTTTTATTGGAACCAGGGCTAAGGAGGGAGAATAACTATCAAATACGTCGATAGTTATGTAATTAAATATTAACTGGATCACTATTACTTTCCATGCTTAAAGTCAATTGTTATAATGATTTCGCCCCATGTGGCATAAAAATGATCTTGATTATTTAACATAACAAATTTCTTCTTATGTGTAATATCTTGATCAATTATGAAAATGAAAATTTGTGACATATCTAGCGACTTGTGTTGGGTAATTATATTGCATTTGACATTTTGTTCTTGAAAATATTAACTTGTGATGTCTTTTAAGTTGTGTTGCTTTAAAATAAATGAAAATATACAAGTCAAATTGGAAAAAAAATGTTGGATGCGACTAGTGATCAAATTAATATTTAATTATATATGACCGGTCATCCGTACAACTAAAACAAATATGAGCGTTCAATTAAAAGATAAATACAGTGACCAATGATCTAATTGATTCCACTGGGCATCAATGAAACTATTCTATTGGATTGAATCCGTTACTAATGGTAGGCTTCCTCTTTAATTCTTTTCCCTAATAGGCTTCACATTGCTGGCTTATTATAGAGATTTAATAAACCTTTGCCTAACTGGGTTTTATATATGTTGAGATTTAATAGTCCGTTGAGCAATTCTTCACCTGCACTGTTCATGGGAAAGAGCTTTTCTGGATGAGCGGGCTTGAGTAATTGCTCAGACTTCGACTGTAAGAACACAGAATAACGGTAATGCTGTAACATGGTAATTTAATATGAGGTCCTTGTTGGGTTAATCGGGTCAATAGTTACTGTATTTATCTCATAATTGGACGTTCATACTTACGGTTCAATCGCTTGGATGATTATTCATGTAATTAACTTTTCATTTATTTTTAAGCAATACAGCTTATTCAATTGTTCAGATTTAATATTTTGAAGAACGAAATGCCAAATGCAACATAAATACTCAATACCAATTGCCTGATACGTCACAAATTTTATTTCCATAAGTGATCAATGTATTATGCACAGGAATAAATTTGATCAATTTTTTTTATATCACATCAGTGAAAATTCATAATGTTAATTGGATGAAATTTGAAAACATTATAAGTGAGTGACAAACTAATTGATATTTTATTACATGACTGGTCATCCAAGTAATTAAAACATAGATATGAATTTCTAATTATGAGATAAATATAGTGATCCAAGTAATCCGACACAGGTGGTCACCTTTCAATGATGCTAAAGGTCAATGTTTGTTTTTTAAGAGAATTAGTTTATGTTCTTTTTCCTTTTGAGGGAAAGGATGAGGCCAAAAAATCGAAAGCACCAGCCAAATCTATTCCGACCAGAAGTGGCTGTTCACAAAAAGATATATATTTCCGACTCCAAAGATATAACCTAAAAGAGAGAATTGAGTGTCCTAATCCTTTTTCACCCTTTCTTATTTATCTATTAATAACATTAATGTTAATCTTAATACTCGTGAAGGATATATAGAAAAGAGTCCACAAATTGGCATTGGTATTAACACAGTGTCGTTGTTTATTCTAATAAAAGTTGAATTAAAAAAAATACTCATTTAAAAGTTATGATAAGGAACACCAAAGGTATAAATAGTAACCCACCATAGGTGACCCGAACAGTCAAGAGGCTCAGATATAGGGGTGCTAAACCGTATCCGTATCCGATGAAATATCCGTAACCGTATCCGTTAGGATACGAATATGGTTACTCAAATCTATAACCGATAGGATATGGTTATGGATATGGTTTTGTAGTGAAATATCCGTATCCGTATCCGAAATATCCGAATACATATTAGTCATACTCTTACGATAGTTTCGATTCTTAGATTATGGATTTGTGGTTAATTTTGATGATCAAGATGACTAATCTTAACTATTTAGTTATAATGGACATATTAACGAACTTTTTTGTATCACATGAACTATGTTTTTCTCAATACTATATAGTTTTCTCATATCTGTTTTGTATCCGCATGCATATCCGCTTATATATCCGCATGTATATCCGTAACCGTATCCGATTTTAGCGGATATGGTTATAAGTTTTTCTTACCGAGGTATATCCGTATCCGTATCCGTATCCGTATCCGAGATGGGTAAGCGGATATGGATATGGTAAGCATCATATCCGAGCCGTATCCGGACCGAATGCACCCCTACTCAGATATGATTCGGACGGCCGAGGGTTTGATTTTGTATGTCATTATCCCCCAAAAGGAAAAAGGAAAAAAACGTATTAATGCTAAATCTTAAATTTTCTCGTATACTTCAGACTCGGAAGATAAAATCCCGTTACCATGGTGTTCATCAGCTTGTCTTTGGTATGGCTATAAGACTCATACCTGAAAATTTTAGATAATGATACTACATTTGCAGGATCTTTGATCGTATAATGCTGCTAGTATCTGAAATACGTTCAAGTATCTAAGTACGATACTGTAATAATGTTTTTGTCTGACGAAAACTGCTAAAGTTTGTTCAGATAATTTGTCACCAGCCGGACCAAATTTTCTACCATATATAATTCAAGAGAGTTAATACTACCACCCAAAATTGTCAAAATTTAACAGCCAAGTGACAAAACCGAACGTATAAGATGCTTTAATCTATTTAAGATAATTGTAACAGAGCATAATATCAACATGTACATACCTTTAATAATAATTAAAAAAACCGAAAACTGAAAAAAGTCTTCTCTATGTTCGCCGGCTTGTGAGCTGTGAACGTATCCCCAACATACAGCAAACAAGTCCTCACGCCAAAAGTCCAATATCATCGGCATCCCTATACACAATGCCATTGAAATAGAAGAACACGTTTGTGCATTCCACCATCTTTTCTTCCAGAATTTACCCAACTACTGAGCACAGTTAATGCTACTTGAGGAGACGCTCGCTAATAACTGTGTTCTTGTGAAGTCAGCCTCAGCCACAGCCAGTGCGAGTCCAGCATTCCTTTTAAACGACGTCAGAAGAATCAGAGCTGAAGCACCATGCTTGAGATTTTCACTTAAAATGGTCCAAAAGAGATCAGCAAATAAGCAAACAAGGCCACTACTGTTCTGAAACAAAGATATGATGCTTTAATAACCTAATCGATCATTCAGTGAGGTTCGGCCATCACCAGTTTGCCCTGCAAGTTCAAAATCAAACATTTCATATTCCGAGAAATAAAAGAAAAGGAGATGCAATATATATAATAATATTTTGGAAACTTCACCTTCAGGAGGCACCCATGTTTCATAATTTGGACTTCTCTCAAGAAAATCAGGCTTCGAGGGTCCAAGTACTCGTTTGGGCTGAGAAGTTTCAATATGGGACTGCTGGCTTCCATTACTTGCTTCTTCATCAAGAGTACTGTACCCTCGTTTGTGCTTCAGTAGCAAAGCCACACTATCAACAACAGTAGTGTCAGCGTCAGATGAAGGTGAACCTTCCACTCTAGCAGCTTTATCAACAGTTTGCTCAGGCTTTTCAACAGGCTTCCGTTTTCTTATGATGAGGCCTGGAGCTGCATTCTCTAATTTTGTTTCGTCATTCACTGAAGCAAGAACTTTCTTCCTATCTTTATAGTCTACAAAGCTGTCAGATTCTGTGGCTTCTGCAGCTGTTTCTTGTGCACGGTCCTCTTCCAAATTCATGTCCTTTGTATCACCAAGCCACTGAGGCTTTATTACAGTGTACACAGGTGCTTTTTTCCCTTCATTTTCACAAGCATCCTCAACTTTTTCAGCATTTTTAGACTTCTCTTCCTGTGAAGAGTTTGGAGTCCCCTCAAGTGGCGAGCTCGATGCACGCTTCTCATCTCTGACAGGTTTCATTTGCTTAAGTTGAGGCTGTTTTCTCATGTCAATAACCAGCTGCTTGGGCTTTGACCCTTTTGCCTTTTCTTCTCTTTTTCGAGCAGCATCTCCCAGTGGATCCGCTATTTTCAGCAAATACAGTGTTCTGTCGAGCTCAGACTGAAGATCAGACAATTCCTTCTCAATTTTCATTACTTTGTCAACAACTGTCAAACAAGGAAAAAGTCTCTCAGGATATGTTAATCACCTTTATCTATGAACAACAACAAAGGTAACTTTCAAGTTTCATAATGTACTGCATGTAATTGTTTGCATATTTATATGCCTCTCTTATACTCTCCTCTCACATAAGCTATGAAGCACAGGCACTTCTGTTTTCAAGTCTTTCGTGCAGGACAACATATCAGGCAAAACACTTCATGCAATATCATTGTTTCTTTGTTATATTTTGCATATCTGTTTTGTGCCATTCCATGTTGCGTCCATTCTGCATTTACAAGTGCATGAGCATAGCATGTGACTAGGCTATACGAAGTTTGTACAGGAGTATGAAGCCATTTAATAACAGTGTTGTAAATAATGGTATACACAGCCTCATACATTGTATACATCATCAGACCACACCACATGAAAATGGCCTTATGCGGCTAAATTATCATCATCATCATCATCATGATAGTTGTGGTGGTGCAGCAGGATATTTGTCCTGTTCCTGTGTGGGGTTCGTGTTGGGTGAAATATTTTTTTGGTTGCTGGTTTGTGTGTGTGTGTGTGTTTTCTTATTCTTTTGCTATTTTTTTTCACGTGGCTGTGAGAATTTTCTCCAATTGCTTCCCACATATAACTGATGGCAGCTGTCATGGAAACCGATTAATTACGAAAAAAAATAATTTTACTATTGAACCCAGGTGTTTTTCTACAACTAGCACAAGTGTTCTCTTTCTTTTATTTCTTGCTCATAGTCGCTTGCATAATTAGACTGCAATTAGTTCTAGGTTGTTTGCACTTGGCAGCCCAAAGTTAACAATATTTTTTACTTTGATACCCAAAGTTTTTTACCCCACATTTTGGTACCCCAAAGTTTACACCTCCTTAACTGTTATACCCCATAGTTTTTTCCCATGACACCACGGTACCCAAGTTTACACCTTTTTCGAACTTTTGATACCCAAAGTTTTGTTTTGACATTTTGATACGCTTTTTTTTGACAGTTCAATCAAATCTAAAAAATGTGTAAACCTTGAGATATTAAAGTTAAATAAAGTGTAAAGTTTGAATATCAAAGTGTCGGGGAAAAACATTTTAGGGTATCAAAGTAAAAGAAGCTTTGGGATGTCAAAGTGTCAATTAAAAATTTTAGAGTATCAAAATTAAAAACAATGAAAACTTTAGGATATCAAAGTGCAAATAACCCTAATCCTATTATACAATGTCGCTTACAATATTTAATTAAAAATAAGGGCATGATGAAATTGCTTTTTTCCTACTTAAATCTGTTCATGTGGACAACTGACATCGATTTTATATGGGAAGTAATGGCCACGTGGGCCAATCATTGGGCGAGTCTCAAGTGACAGTCACTTATAGCGAGTAGCAACTACTGCTAGACTTCCTCTTTCTTGACAATCAGGAATTAATGCATTGCGTTGCGTGTACAAGTACCAAATATGGAAAGTGTACCTAGTTGGGATGTCAGGCCACTCATGTATGCATCAAGGTCATCCCCACCAACACCATCAAAGCTGCTCTCCATAGTAGGAGCCTGTTTATCTTTCTCCTTCAGAAGCAATACTTTTTTCTCTTCCATTTTATTAACAATAGCCTCCTTTTTGTCGAGAAGGGTATCCGCTGTTTCAACTGACTGCTCACCAGGTTTTTTGGCAGAAGGCTTCTTCTTCTTCGTCCGATCGTAAAAGTCATCATCATCACTAAACCAGACAAAAATTTAAAAAGTGTATATCAAAGCAACGTTGCATGTTTATAAGAGAAGAGGGGGAAAAAGCGAAGAAAAAAAATTCTTTTGAACATCAATTAGGCATGTAACTGCATCACATGTAATTGCAGCATTTCATATCAAAGCAACATTTGTGTGTATACACTCGCACACATAGCAGTGGTAGATAGCCAAGATCAGGCAGGAAATTCCTCCCTGACTCCTAGTCAAAAAAGGCAAGAACCCGAGTATCGGAAACTACATGACACTTGTTGAAGAGGTCAGTATCAAATTTAATATGGTTCTCTTACATGTGCCTTGTTGGACATAGGTGATCACTTATTGTGCAATCATTTACTTCATATTACCACCTAAAGCTTTCCTGATAGTTTAATACGTGCTGCATGTTGCATCGACAATGCTTTAACTTTGTATATTGACCACTTATTAGGTTATATTATCAGTTTCATACTTAATATCTTGGCAGGTAAGGACCTGAGGATGAGTACAATTCACTCTTTCTTGCATTTAATGCATGGCTCTTCCCTGCCTTTGGTCGCTAAACCACGACGAATATACCTAGGTTCTTGGCATTTACCGTGTTCCTTAATTTTGATCTAAGTATCCACTTGCGAAATTATTAAAAAAGAAGAAGAAAAACTGTACTTCCAAAAAGAAAATATTTTTGACATGCAAGCAACAAAAAGTATCATTTAACTATTGAGTATACGTTTAATTTCCAAGGTTGCGTCCCTAGAACTATTAAATGCCAGGGAGAGCTCCAGCATCAAAATATTTCTCAGACAGAAACACCAATTAGTGAGCAGATGAACGACGTTCAGTTAATTTTTGACACACTTTAGATATTTATCATGCTAAACCTCGGCCTCTCATCTATTCTATATGCAGCCTCTTTCTCTGATAATCATACTAAGAGTAAAAATTGATCTAGCATCTTTAATTATCAACATTACATGCACCAGTTTACATGCAATAAAATCCTCAAAAAAGCATGATAACCACGACAAGTCAGAAAGTTTATTATTGACCTGAAAAAATTGTCATAAATGTCACATCACTTATATCACAAATAAGTTGCCTAGTCAGGAATATATATAACACAGTAATCACATGTCAAGATAAAGATGAGGCTTTTTTTTCTTTTTTTGGGCTATGCTATCAAACCAAGAAAAAAACTCAACCGAAGCATAAATATCAGAGAGAAAATAATAACCTCAAGATGTCATCTTCCTCCTCAAAAATTCCCGGTTTCCGGTTTTGAGTGATCTTCCCAGAACGTGCACCTAGACTCTCTTGAATGCTCTCATTAAGAGTCTCCTCCAAGCTCTCCAATTCCTCCATAATCTGAGCAATATAGCACATAGCAATTACTCGAGTAAATAACCGGAAAAATGAATTACTACATCCAAAAAGATTGAATGCCATTGGTGTCCGAAATACGAGTACCTGAGACATTCGTTGTTCATTTCGAGCAATCTGTGTTTGCTGACCTTGAGTTAAACCACCTTGTGAAATGTCCTTAGCCCGAATAGCGTCAATCTCTTTCTTCATATTGGCGACCTTTTGGAATCAAAGTGATTGCAAAGCATAAATCTACTCAGTAACAGTAGGAAGTAAGATGGCGATTTTGAAGCATATCAGCAGCAAATCCCAATAATAGAAAATGATGCCAGAGTATGTAGTGATGTCAAACAAAACGTAGAAAATTGTCTATCAAATATTTGCACACGATGATTAACTGAGTGTAGAAAACAACAATAGCTACATCCGAAGTAAACATTGACTATTCTCACAGAAATACCAATCTTCCCGCATAAAAAAAAACATATGTTGTGCTAAAGATTCACTAAACATGTATGTTGTGCTGAAGAATAAGATTTATTATGCTCATGACATATAAATCATTGTTTTAAATATCCCCGACATGACCCAAGATATCAATCGATATATCCTTCGACAAGGCTTGCCGCAAAATGATATGGTTTAAACTTTAAATATCCTTTACCTCTTTCTGACAATTTTTGGGCAATATATCCCCTACTTGGCCGATGTGTCCTTTTATATGGCTTGTATATCGACTTTTGGCAATTTTTGGTGATATATCATGATTTTCCTAATATATTGTGTGACATTTGGCCAAAAAAAATTCGGACAAAGTTGCAATGTCGAGTTGGACTTTTAATTGTTTAAAAGGTAGATTAGTGATCCTAATCATGTATTTTATACATTTTAATATGCTTAAATTTCATTAAGTATATTTAGATTATATTTTAGGACATTATATTATATATTCACATCATCCAATATAGCAACTCGATATTTAACACATATCCCTGATATTTCTTCGATGTCCGCAATCCAATATAAATTTTGGTTATCCGACATTTCTCCAATATCCGATAGTTAAAAACCTTAATATAAATATATACTACTTGCAGATACAATTGTAAGCAATATAGGTACTCCTCGTAATTGTAGTTGGAACCTTCCCTATATGCAGCACTATACCATCCATATGGCAGTGCTTTAGGTGATTAGGTGTCATTTAGGGATGTTATGGTAATTTAAAATATTATGAAGGCATGCATAATCCGAATATATTAATTTCTTTTAATTATGGGTCATTACATGAATCTACTTTACTAGATACGTTTCGAACACTATCAGCATGTTTGGCAACTTTGCACTATAATCCACTTGGCTTATAATCCACAAATGGCTTATAAGTCAAGTGAATTATAATCCAGAGTGTTAGGTAAACTTAGTTTCTAATGGTAGAATGCTTGGCGAATGAGTAGCTTATACTTCAGCCTTATTTGTCAAAATGACCAAAAAGGAATTGGACACAGAAAAAGGGCTTTGAAATTTTCTTAAATGCTAAAGGGTAAAGTGATCTTTTACATGGTCAAACTATGTGGCTCATAAGCCACCAAAAAATAACTCATTTGCCAAACATGCCTTAGGAGCTCATAAACCACAAAAATGACTTATAAGCCGCTTTGACCAGTTGCCAAACATGCTCTATGTATGATTCCACTGAAACTTTTACCACATCCTTTCGGTAGCCTTCTCTTTTAATTAGATGCTCCTGAAGAGCTTTACTTGTATTATTGCTGCATAAAACACACGGGTGCAATCTTTCAAGGCACCCGTATAAAAACAACAACATGATAAAAATGTAATAATTTTTACAAGCTCTGTTGGCTTTTGGTACCTTACGTTTTTATGATAAAAATGTAATAAAACATGAGGATAGAAAAGTCATTTGTTAGGTCAAACCTAGCTTATTTAGATGAATTTATAAGCTAATTTTTCAAAAGTTGACGAACCTCAAGTTCTTAAAATGGGACATAAAGCTAGCTTATTTGATATGTCACCAAACACATAAATGTGGACAAGCTACTTAAAAGCTATTTTGGCCGAAAAATTAAGTTCTCCCAATCACCCTTTTAATATAAAACCACACATCTGAAGGCACCCATACAAACAGACCACTAATCTCAAGCGGAGAACAGGCATGTTCAATCAAACTATAGTTGCATCACTTGGTTTAAAATGAAATACAGCCATCCTTGAGCTATAGGGCATAAGCTCCATTCAATGTATTAAAACAATTGACATATAAAGGGTGTCCTTGGTGTTGATTGTTCAAACTCAATACAAAAGATTTATCAAAAACCACTTCTCAGAAAAGAAATTTATACTGATTAGCTGTTTGTATTTCTAAAATTTGAAGTGCTTATAAATGTCAATATTTGAAATTGAAATAGATCTAATGAGACAAAAGTTGATGTCTGTAAAGGATGAAGAATCCATGGAGGTATGTTGATGTCTGTCGTGTCTGTGTCAATGTATGAAGATACTGTTAAAACACTTGACAAACAATGGGCATCCGTGGTGTTGATTGTTCAAACCCCGTGTAGAGAATTTGTCCAACTTCTCAGAAAATACATATTATATAGATGCACTTTTTTTCCTACAATTTGAAGTTCTTATAGAAAATGATCAATACTTGTAATAGATTCATTTAAGAAGACAAAAGTTGAATGTCTCGGAGCAAAAGTTAATGTCATGGAGAGAGAGAGAGGGGAGAGAGAGAGAGAGAGAGGAAGAGAGAGAGAGAGAAGAGAGAGAGAGAAGAGAGAGAGAGAGGGGGGGCGGAGGATTAAGCTGAAGAAAGATTTGTGAGGCATCATATGAGAAACAAAGACAAAAAAGGACAAAGACAAAAAAGGAGCAGCCACATGAGGGTTCTGCATCTGCAATGGAGAGAAGCCATATATTCTGGCTTCTCCAGATCACAGCTTATAAACTTTTGCTTCTCTCAAGAGTCTTCTTAAATTGAATCAAATTTTACCCAAAAAAAAGCATATTTGCTTTATTTTAAGCAATGCCAGAAGTCAAACCTCGTTACATGAAATGATCTGACAAAAACGTAATATAGTAACTACACAAGAATATGCGGATACTTACCTTCTCCATTCGTTTCAAAATTTTTCCACGTGTTTTTTCCTGCCTCTCAGTAAGCTGTCCTTTGTATGTTTGCCATGTTATTTCGTCTTCACCATCATTCTAGAAGATGGACACAGTTCAGTAATTGAGCAACCAAAGATTCAAAAACAGCAATATATGCAACAAACTGATAAGAGTGCTTTGAAAAAGAGAAGCCTGGGAGCAAGTGAAAACTGGAAGACCACACACCTACATTTTAAATAAGAAAAAAAAACACACGAAAACACATGAAAACATAGAGGGAAAAGGGGAAATTCAAGGAGGGAATGGGGATTGTTCAGAATGGAGGCAGTAAAGAAGGTAAAGGACCCAGAAAAAACTAAAATGAACAGCAACATAGATCAACAAACCTCCATAGGTTCTTCAACAGCATCGTCAGTCATGCCCCATGAGACACCATCTGCAAGTGATGCTTCAACTCTTGCACGTGCAAGGGAAGCTTCACGATCAATCATCTCTTCTCGTAGTGCTTTTGCAGCCCGTAGTTTCTCCAGGTCACCCTCCTATATTATACCCAGAATGCAATAAGTTATAACAATACAAATATTGAACAACGTATGTATGGAAATTCAAGGAGAAGTGACAAAGTTTACAATCTCTTCATATACAGTTTAAACTTATAACTATGACATAAGGTGTAATTTGTAATATCCATAAACTAATGAGGTCAATTTCTATACATAACACGACAGCAGATGAGAAATGGTGATGCGGTACAAACCTAATTCTAAGTGCGAATAATTTGTTATTATATGTTAAGTAGTAACCAATCATAATAGACAAGAAAGTTGGTTACAGGAAAATGTGTTATCATGTGCAGTGACTGATTTTTAAATAAGTGCCTTAGTTTCATAATGAATTGGTCACAAGTACAGCTTTTTGTTTGGGAGTCATCTAACCATAAGCCAAGAAACCAAAAAAGGAGCGACCCAAACTTTGTTATACATAAGTAGAAACAAGGTTTTAAGTCTTTACTATGGGAAAATGGGTAGGAAACTAGATATATTAAGATCTCAGATGATCTTAAACCTGACCCCTAATTGAATTCTTGCAAAGGAATGTCCCAGCCTTAAAAAAACATACCCTAATACATACTTTAATAACCATCCCGTTTACTTATGCTTTCTATTGTTTCCTCCAGCTTTAAACAACATAAAGGATGCAGGCTCTATTGATGCTTGATAGGTAAAATACCTAACATGGACCGAGAGAAGTTACAAAGCCTGGATTGACATGACCCAGAACAAGATTGATGGGTCAAGAACATTGCCCTATATGGAAACCAGAATATTTGAGTAGAATGAAAATTAAGAGTTCAAACATAAGACTTCCCTTAAAAAACAATATCATCTACGAAAATTTTAGTGAAGATCTGCAAGGACAAGCACTTTACACTGGGTATAAGGCTGAATTTTCCCATCATAATATAAATACTTAAATGTATCTCAATAAAAAGGTCAAAAAATAGATTAAAGATTTTTTTAAAGAGAATATACTCTGTTAAGTAACTAAGTCTGCTTCTGTGCGACTTTTGTGTGTGTGGGCGGGGGGTGGGGGATTCCGAGTAACATGAGAATGTTAGAACTAAGGAGGTCTCATAACAAAGAACAAGGAAAAGTTAGAATAGTAAACATTATGGATGAACTGTTCTGAAATTGCAATAGATAAAGAACCTAGTGCTGTCATGGATCTTGCTCTAAGTTTATTATTGGCACATACCTAGTCCAGGTGTTAAACAAAGCATAAATGGCCTATCAATAATGGTAAAAAAACATACAACAAAACATGCTATCATTCTTTGGTTGACTATGCTTCACAGATTGCTTACATTGAATAGGCTTGGCAGGTTGGGGTTGTCCAATAATACTCAATGTGTACTGTGGGAAAAAGATCAGGAGAATCACCATCACTTGTTCTTTGAATGCATGTTTCAGGTTTAAAGCAGATTCATGGACTGGTTATGTTTCAGATGGAAGAGCCGTGTACGGGTACAGTTAGTTGTTTGGTTAATTGGTTCTCTAACAATTTGAGAGGTAATTCTTACATGAAGAGAGGAAAGTTTGCTTTAGCTGTCGCTGTTTACGTGATATGGTTGGAGCGTAATTGGAGGAATTTTAGAGGTGTTATGAGTACTACGAATTAGGTGGTTAGTAAAGTTAAGGTTGCTGTTTGTATTAATCTTTTTCAGCATCCAATTCTTGTTGAATATAGAGCATGGATTGAGACTTTATAAGTTGTATGTGGTATCTAATATCTGTTAGTTTTTGTAAACCCAGGTGTGCCGGTGGCTATGTGATGTGCAAATACTTCCCATGAAGAGTGAATAAAATTATTCATTTACCCCACACAAAAAGAGGGGCAAAAAACGAGTGATGATAAATCATAAATATTCTGAGAAACAGCCCAAAACCATGAAGGACTTTCTAAATGGTTCCAGATTATACAGATTACAGATATACAAACATACAATGCCTTCTAGCAAAAGTTTGAATGATGCTTGAAGATAAAAAAAGATGATGATGATAATAAAGCAGTTTGAAACTTAACCACCATATGCACACCAACTTGTTTTATCTCCAATCAATACATGGAATTTTCCACAATTTATTTATGAATTGACACATTGAAGAATCTTCGAAGAATGCGCTGAAGTATTCCAAACATGATTCTCCTGTATTTTTTATCTGAAGTTACGAATCCATGTTTAAGAATGTAAACATAGATAACTAGATTAATAAGAAAGCCTTCTGTGGCTCTGTGGATTTCTGGATACCAATCATTAAGGAATGCAGAAACAGCTCTGTGGATTTCTGGATACCAATCATTAAGGAATGCAGAAACAGCAAATGATCATAAAAGAAAATTAGCTTAATATACAGTTTATGGAGTTGGGAGAAAACATTGAAGGAAGCAAAGTGGTCATTTATCTTACGGGAGGCATTAGCTCGGACGGTCCTTGAAATATGTATAACCGTGAAGAGCTGCAAGAAACATTGATAAGTACAATATTACCACCAGGAGCAGAAAAGAAAATAAACTGGTAACAGCTTGACTAAAGCATATATAATCCTCTGAGATTCTGTTTATTATCTAGCATTTGCAAAGGCTCCTCAAGTGTAATTCCCCTTAAGGCACAATCTAATCATCCTCATCATTATACATTTCATTTCTCATTAATGTAAGAATTGCTATTGCAGAAGGCTCCAGAGGAATTGATCAAACAGGCAATCATCCCTATCTTGACTGCTCTAGGTTTGTGTTAAAATCCTTGTCAGGGACAATGGACAAGGAGCCTACCGTATAACTAGATGAGCAGTTGATGGTGACTGGGGAAACCAGCCTAATTAGTTGTGCAGTTTAAGATCATACAATCAAGCAGCAACACGCAGATATTCTCTTACACTAAGGGACATAGCCAAGAGCAAGAACTATAGGTATCTGCACTCTTTATCAATTCTCAGATTCAGATATATAAGCAGAAAGCCGGTAACATTTTACATGAACAGGCAATTTTATAGGTACCCCATGTTTTTAAATATCCAGCTCAATATATACTCGACCAATTAGAACATGTTCGCATCTCTTTCGATAAGTGTTTCTGAAGATTTTAAAGAAAATGACTTGTGGCGGTAATATGAAATTGGATGTTTGGTAATGATTTCACAAGGATCACTATTATCAAGTTGACAGCAAGAATTTCAGAAGTGAACTACTCTACCTCTCTAACATTTGGTCAGTCATACTCCTAGTAATAATTTCACAAGGATCACTTTTATCAAGTTGACAAGCAACATTTCAGAAGTTTAAATATTCTACCTCACTACCCATGTGGTTACTCATTTTATCCTGGTGCAAAACACTCCCCCCCCCCAAAAAAAAAAAAAAAAAACACACCAAAAGGGGGGGGGGGTGTTGGGGCGTCGATGGAATGCACAGAGTGATGAACAGATTGAAAGTCATCAACTATGTGAAGGTTAGTGACTCTCTTTATTGATATGCTCCCAAACTCACCCCATTTTGATATGAAACACATAGGTGATGATTTCATTACAATAATAATTTGGTTTTGCTTAACAATAATAATCAGATCTAAGATGTGATATCAATGGTCAAATATAAAACACAATTAAAGTCAAATATAAAAAACCATTAAATGTTTACTGGAGTGAAATCCAATTAAAAAATCCATTGATAAAAGGCTCAAGTTTGGGTTGATATTTAAACAAGCTAAGCTTGGACATGAGATCCAAGGATAATATCGAACTTCCTTTAGCCAAGAGCTGGCATAATCAAGTGAGTTCTGTTCACACCTCTGAGGGTGGAAATCAAGCAAGCTCAAGGAGCATTACATGCTAAAAAGAACTCAGAAAAGTACATGTTAATATTTAATATATAGCAAGTCAACTTACTGGCCAAATCGAATAACGTCGCCAACATGAACTTTTGTATATTCCTTCTTCTTGACCTGGTATAGATTGAACACAACTAATCTCGAATGGACCATGTGTACCATTAACCAAAATAAACTTATAACTTTTTTAATAAGTACCTCACACTTGTTGATAAAGGTCCCATGAGTACTACCAAGGTCATAGAGAAAAGCTTCACCATCTTGTTTGAACTGCAGAACTGGTAACAGAACAGAACAAATCAGTCATCATATCCATATACCACCCATTTTGGTGTATCTAAAGAAGCTAGGAACCATCTAGCGCATTACAAATATAAAATAAGAAACTACGCGTGCCTGCATGGAACCGAGAAATCGTCGGATGTTCAAGTACAAAATCACATAGATCAATGCGTCCAAACATAAAGGCGCCTTTCGTAGACCTGCACCAGTGAGATAGGTTACACAAGAAGCAATCAGCTAGTCTGATATAAATTTCAAGCTGCTTATGATTCTCATAATTCTCACTGGCTTCTTGTACCTTGAGACCACTATATTTAAAACCTTTCTTCCAAAAAAATGAGGTCATTGTTTAAATCACCACATATATTAAAACATTTATATATATATTGAACAATAGGAGATTGCACAGAAGCCGTACAGTGCAACTCGAACTGTTTTAACAGCTTACATAATAAATAAATAAATAATTTCCCTAAATCAAAGTTTTGACCCAATGTAATCTTATGCCCAAAAGGTATTGTGCTGTTACTAAGCTCAATAGCTTAGTTTAATTTAAAAATATAAAAAGAGGCCTTTTGTCTGTAAATCTAAGTTTTAACCCAATTTATTTTTAAGCCCAGAATCCTCCTAAGCTCATCAATTTTAATAAATAATAAAATATAATACTAAGACATTTTCTCCTTTTCTTTTTGTGACTTTTGTGCAAAACCACCAAAAAAATATAGTGATTTTTCAAAGAACCACCACGAAATTTCCGATTTTTGTAAAACCACCCTGATAATATTCACCATTTATAAAATACCACGAAGCCATAATTTCCATCCGCATTATGTTAAATAAGGGTATAAAAGGACATAAAAGCTCCTCATGACCAACTTTTGGATGAAAGTAAGATGCTTTCTTAGGAGAAGAAAATATTAAAAATATATATATAGTCCCGCAGTGAGGGTGTTTTGGAGATTCCACATATTATTTAACATAAAATGAATGGACATTATGATATGGTGGTACTTTGTTAATAGTGCATTATTATCACGGACGTTTAATAAAAGCCTGAGCTTTGATGGTGGTTTTGCGAAAAACTACTCTGTTTTGTGGTGGTTTCATACACAAAAACCTTTAATTATTTTGGCATTTTCTAAATTGTTATGTTAGTCCTTTGCTTATCATTTCAAAGTTGTGCCCTTGATTTATATTTAAACCCGCCCATTATCAGAAATGGGATTTTTTCTATAAACCCAAAGTTTTACCTCAATTTATTTTTAAACTCACCCATATCCAAAATCACTATTAGACCCAAAATACTCCACCAAATTAACTTTAAATTTCAATTTGTACTTCAAGAGTTTGGTATAAGGTGTAAATTGCTATATTTTGTTCTAATTTGCTATATTTCTTCTCTAAGTTGTTAGGAATACACATCATTTTTAAAATTAAATTCCTAAGGCATAACTTTTGGGTTTTTTCTTACACTAATGCTGCCGGAATCACGAACTATAAATTGATTTTCTTGTCTATAAACCAAAAGTTTTACCTCTATTTATTTTTAAGCTCATCCACTTCCCCAAAAAAAAAGATATTTTGGCTTATAAACCCAATGTTTTACCATCATATATTCATTAACCCCACCAATTTCAAAAACTAGTACTCTTATACCTAAAATACTACTTTGAGTTAATCTTAAACCCACTTTGTATTTCAACAGTTTGGTATGCGATGTAAGTTGTTACATTTATTGTAACTTGTTTTATGCTTGTTCCAAGTGTTTATGTATATGATGTATTTTAAACCAAATATTTAAATTAATTTTTTGACCTTTTCACATGAATATCGCGTCAACACGCGCAGCAATTTTGCTCATTTGTACTAAAAAATATGACCCATTCATATGCAAATTGCTGAAAATACCATCATCCTTCCTTTTGCATGATTTTTTTTTCTTAACTTTTCCTCTTTTGTATAGAGAGGAATTTTTTTGTCTCATACGTGTAAATCTATTACGATCCACAAAATATCTTCATGAAAATTTTGTTAACTAAATTTCTTATTTTCAATTCAGGTTGATTTGGAAATTGGGCTCACTTGAGGTATAAAAGATTGAATAAATACATGTAAAGTGAATTGGATATAATCCGAAGTATGTAACTATGAATTCATATAGATGGATAGCGTCTGTTCAAGTCAATATAAAACAATGTTCACTCTAAATCAAAAGCATAACTTTCAGGACCTATCCAAAATCCCAATACATAATCTCCTGATTTTCGTTTAACTTTGAAAAATTCGACAGTCGAGCAATCAAGTAAATCTTTTGTCACCAATTGAGAATTCAAACTAGAAATGCAAGTGAAACCCAGTCAGAACCTAATTTCCAACAAGTAGTTATGATCAAATAACCATATGATAATCGCGCGTGTAAAAAAATTTAGTACAAACCTCTTAACATTTAAGTAGTTTTGGCTAACATTTCCAAAACTCCGATAACACTCACCCAAATTCAGGGTACCGGATATGGAGAAACCATTAGTCACAAGTAGTTCATATTTATCCAGATCCAGCGGAAGCTACGGAACCCACAGCAAACCCATGGGGGGGAAATGTCGAATTATACAACCCAAGAATTAAGAAAATAAGCAAACAGTAGGGGTTTCCAAACAACCAAACTCCCAAGAGCTAACCCAATATTTCAAAGGTAAATTGGTAAAAGAGTCGCCACATAGTAAAAAGTAACTCACACATCAAGCTGTTCGACAATGGCGCCGTCCTTGAGGACCTCAAAGAAGAAGGGCTGGCCCGGTGGCTCGCTCCACGGTGGGATGGAGTAGGGAATAGTAACCCCAGAGTGTTCGGATCCTGAAGAATCAGAATCAGGTTTAGGGTTAGGGCTAGGGTTTTGTTCAGGTTTGGGAGTTGTCTCCTCAGCAGGAGCCACGTTCTCGGCATCGATCTTTGCGACGTTTTCGAGGGTTTGGGTTGGGCCTGGAGGCTCGGGATTAGGGTTTGATTGGGGATTAGGGTTTCTAGGAGGAGGAGGACCCATGGGGACGTGAGGAGAAAGCTTTCGATGTGGAAACAGCAGTCTCCAAGTTTCACGGTCGGTGATCCTCTTGAACCTCGCCGGCAAAATAAAGGGTTTTTAACATATTGGTCCATTAGTCCCTCAAAACATTGAAATTGCTAAAGGACTCGTTAATTTCTGAAATTAGTTCCTGATATCATTGGAATTGTTATACGATCCCCCCAGTTCATAGTTATTTTGTAATTATTCCCTCTGATCAGGAGTAGGAATAGCAATTAGAGCAGAATTAGTCCCTCAAACCATCTAAATTTCTATTAGGCCCCTCTATTCTCATATATATGTTGTTTCAGCTAAACCTCTTTGACTGCTAATTCTTCTACAGAGTTGAGGGACTAGTTTCAAAGTTACTTAAAAATTAGGAAACCTGATAGGAATTTTAATGATTTGAGGGATTAATCTCAAAATAACTTAAATTTTTGGGGGACTAATTTCAATATATGAAAGATGTAAGGGCCTCAATTCAAAAAACCCAAATGGGGTTATGCAAAACAATTATTGCCGTCTCTGATTCCAGAAAAAAAAAACATATCACGGTAAAATCTTGTATCTGACTACTAGTCTCCTATAAACTTTATGTTTTATAAGATCGCGAAAAAGTAGTTACGTTGGAAATATGAAGAATGATGCCAACAAGTGTTATATCTAAAGTTAGTCTTTGATAAATCTATATTGATAATTCCGAATCCAGTATTTTTCATCGATATCAATAAGTTTTATTGTGTCCTGCATGCATCATGCCAAATGTAGCTTCCGAAAATGTCTACTGTTGCTAAATTTATTGTCCAAGCTCGAGTATTCTTTATATTGAACCAATTTGTCAGAGATTAATGATAGCAAAGCAATTTTGAGCAGTTATTTTCCGACACTCCTCTTATCTTCTTACGTGAGCGTGTGTTGTTGATCTCGGTCTTCACAGAGTTGGCTTGGGGCTGTTTGGTTGGTTTCCAAAAATCCAAGAATAGGAAATTGGAGCTTAAAAATCTCCAAAAATGCAATTTCCACCATTTTCATCCCTAAAACTTACCCACAACATCCAATAAAATATTATTTTCATCCAACAACTCATCCACATCATCCAATAAAATATTATTTCCATCCAACAACTCATCTCATATCATCCAATAAAATAAACTAAACAAAAGAAATGGGTCACATCATCCAACTCATCTCATCTCCATCCCATCTCATCTTTAAAAATCACTCACATCATCCAATAATATTGTGACAACTCATCTCATCTCATCTCCATTTCACCTCCACTCATTTCCTCCAAGGGGCTGTTCGTTTCGCAAAAATTTTTGGGAAATCAAAGAATAGGAAATCAAAGAATAGGATTTCTTGAATTATGGTTGTTTAGTTGGTTAAAAAAAGAAGGAAATCAAAGAATAGGAGATGAGATGAGATGAGTTGTCATCATATTATTGGATGATGTGAGTGATTTTTTAAGAAAACTTGTTTTGATGTTGTTTGGTTGGTTAAAAAAATAAGAAAATGTATTATAAGAAACCTATTTCCTATAATAATTTTTTTCTTGTGTTTGGTTCATTCTTAAAAATAAGAAAATAGATGAGATGAGATGAGTTGTTTGTATATTATTGAATGATGTGACCCACACTTAAGGAAATCAATTTCCTTTTTTTTTTTTAGGAAATGGGTGGAAATAAAATGCTAATGAGATGAGATGAGTTGTCACCATATTATTGGATGATGTGAGTGATTTTTAAATATGAGATGAGATGAGTTGGATGATGTGACTCATTTCTTGTGTTTGGTTTATTTTTAAAAGTAAGAAAGGATATGAGATGTGATGAGTTGGTGGATAAAAATAATATTTTATTGATAAAAGTGTATAGATTTCTTTTTCTTGGATTGAGTTTTATGGATGGAAGTGGATAAAAATAATATTTTAATGAAAAAAGTACATGGATTTCCTTTTCTTGGTTTTTAGGAAATCTCTTTCATCTCCACCCATTTCCTCCAAAAAAACAAGGAAATTGATTTCCTTAAGTGTGTGTCACATCATCCAATAATATAATGACAACTCATCTTATCTCATCTCATCTCCTATTTTTAAGAATGAACCAAACACAAGAGAAGAACATATTATAAGAAATAGGTTTCCTATTCTTTGATTTTATTTTTTTTAAACAACCAAACAACCTCAAAACAAGTTTTCTTAAAAAATCATCAACATCATCCAATAATATGGTGACAACTCATCTTATCTCATCTCCTATTATTTGATTTCCTTCTTTTTTTAGCCAACCAAACAACCATAAAACAATTTTTTAAGGAAATAGGTTTCCTATTCCTTGATTTCCTTCTTTTTTTGGCAAGCAAACAGCCCCTGTGAAGATAAGGAGAATGTTGTTGTGGATACAGACGACCAATCTTTGGTGTGCATGAGACACTAAACTTAAAGATTGTTACGGCACCACACTTTCTGATGGGAAGCGGGGTTCATCCCCATGATGAATTAATATGGATTTAATCCATGGAGATTTTATGGTTGACTACATGCATGCATTGATAGATTGTCTTTTCCCGTGCATTGGGAAAATGAATGGTTAGTCTTTGGACTTCCCCATGCGTTGGGAAAAGGAAGGGTTAGTCTTTGGCCTTCCCCATGTGGTGTACCCAAGAGGCATATCCTCCCTATAAATAGAGGGGAGATGGTGGAGGTTGAATGCAAGAAGCAAAAAGAAGAACTACATACAAATTTGTAATCCTCAAGTGAGTTTGAGAGAAAGTTGTAATCCTCAAGTGAGAGAAAGTGATCATCAAGTTAAGTTATACCAACTTGAGAGAAGACCATTTGTAAACTTTCATTTGATTATAGTGGAAACGGTGTAAGTTATACCAACTTGAGAGAAGACCATTTGTAAACTTTCATTTGATTATAGTGGAAACGGTGAAGAAGGGGCGGGTGAGGACGTAGGCTCAATTTGATTTGATTATAGTGGAAACGGTGAAGAAGGGGCGGGTGAGGACGTAGGCTCAATTTGAGCTGAACCTCGATAAATCTTGTGAGTGCAATCTCTCTATTTTTATGTTTTTCTCTTCTATTTTTTTGTTCTCATCTCATCACAAAGACGAGAAAGGTCTTGTTGTACTGTTAATTTCCCAACAGTGGTATCAGAGCGAGGTTGCTAATATTCTTGTGTTGAGATGGAGACTCCCGTCGGCGGCGTTCGAATGATCAGTTTGAATGGCTGCAATTGGATGATATGGAAGGCAAAGATGATGGAACTTCTATATTATAAGGACCTCTATGCGCCAGTTGAAGGTGAAACCTCCAAGCCAGAGTCCATGACGGCGGATGATTGGAAGAAGCTCGACCGAAATACCATCGGCACCATTCGGCAATGGGTGGATGACACTGTATTCCATCATGTGTCAAATGAGACTTCGGTGAACAGTTTGTGGAAGAAACTTGAAGATCTCTACGAAAGAAAGACCGCCGGTAACAAAGCTTTCTTGATTCAGAAGCTTGTCAATCTCAAGTTCAAGGAAGGTGATTCTATATCTGAACATTTGAATGAAATTCAAAATATTATAAATCAACTTGCAGCCATGAAGATGGTGTTGGAAGATGAGCTTCAAGCCCTTCTTTTGCTTAGTTCGTTACCAAATAGTTGGGAAACGTTGGTGATGTCTCTTAGCAACTCTGCACCTGATGGAGTTGTATCCATGAACCAAGTTACAAGTAGCCTCTTGAATGAAGAAATACGAAGAAAGTCATCTAGATCCTCTCATTCTCATTCTTTTGTTACCGAGAACAGGGGGATGAGCAAATATCGACAGCCTCAGAATCGAGACAAGTCAAGAGGAAAATCAAAGGCTAAAAAGGACATTAGTTGCTATCACTGTGGGAAGAATGGACACATAATCAAGCGAGAAGAAAAGGAAGGAAAGACCAATGAAAAACAAGAAATGAATGAAAATGCAGCTGTTGTCAGTGACAATGAAATTGTGCTTATCTCGGCATGTGAAGAAGACTGTGCAAATCTCACTTGCCAAGACTCGGAATGGGTGATTGATTCTGGTGCTTCCTATCATGCTACTCCCCGGAAGGACTACTTCACTTCGCTTCATGAAGGTAATCTTGGAATGGTAAAAATGGGTAACAAAAACTCTTCTCAAATTCTTGGCATTGGAAATATTTGTGTTACTACTAACCTTGGAACAAAGATGGTTCTAAAAGATGTTAGATTTGTGCCCGATCTTCGTCTTAATCTTCTCTCCACCGACAAGCTTGATGAAGAAGGATACACAAGCAGCTTTGGTAAAGGATGTTGGAAGCTTACCAAAGGGTCACTTGTACTAGCAAGAGAAAAGAAATGTTGCATTCTCTATAAGACTCAGTTTCACTTAGAGAATGATGAACTTGGAACAGTGGAAGGTACCTCTATGAATTTGTGGCACAAACGGCTTGGCTACATGAGCGAAAAAAGGCTACAAACTCTCACAAGGGGACAACTACTTTCATCCATGCAAGGTATAACACTATCCCACTGTGATCACTACTTGATTGGGAAACAACACCGGGTAGCTTTTGTTAAAAATTATAACAAAAAGAAAACTGGCATATTGGACATAGTCTATTCGGATGTATACAGACCCATAAATGAAAAAAACTTTTAGTGGTGCCTCATACTTTGTGACCTTCATAGATGATGCATCTAGAAAGGTGTGGGTGTATGTCATAAAAACCAAAGATCAAGTCTTTGAAGTTTTTAAAGACTTTCATACTAAATTTAAAAGAGAAATCGGAAAGCTCTTGAAGTGTATTCATACTGATAATGGTGGTGAGTATACTTCAAGGATGTTTGAAGACTATTGTTCTTTTTATGGTATTAGACACCAAAAGACTGTTTCACACACACCACAACACAATGGGATTGTAGAAAGAATGAACCACACAGTTGTGGAAAGGATAAGGAGTATGCTATCTTAGCTAA